GTGATAGGGAAGCATTAGCTGGGATGTGACCACTGATGGTTGGATGAGATGATCTCATTGGTCTTTTCCAACCTTAATGATTCTATGACAGCTTCCTTGGCCGCACTGTTTGCAGGCTGCCTGCCTTTCAGGTGACAGCAGCACTGTCCCTTTGCTTTCTCCACCAATGATCACTTGCTCGCCCTGGGAAGAGCTCCTCAGCATTCATGCCCATGAAAAACCACAAGAGCCAGAGTAAAAGGAGATTGATTCAGAAAGAGGGTGTGAATCCAAGTAGTGCAAAACAAACAGTCTACACGACACATTTCTTTCTCACCTCTGCAGAAGCTAATCTAGCTAATCCCTCTGTGTTGTAACAGGAAAATAATCAATACCTTACAACTCCACAGCGAGTATCTGAGGATGCAGGCAGCAAATAGCAGCTGCTGGGCCTCCAGCCCATCCAGCACTGTGCGCGAGCAACTGCCTCTGGTGTGCCCTCCAGCTTTTTGCTGTGGTGTCTGCATGCAGGCAGTGACTTCAGGCCACATCTCATTTTCTTATTCCCAAATAAGCATTCTGCTTAGCTTTGCCACCGTGATGTGAATTTCCTAAATAAGATGATGTTCTGGGAAAGAGATCTTCCTGCATGCTCTTGAAAAAAGATAGTCACTTCTTTCAGAAAGCTTGGCATTCGCACAGGCTGCACTGACATCCTGTGGCTTGATTTCCCAGCCTGAAGTGAAGGTAAGCACACAGGGATGGCTTCACCCCCACTTCCTATTCCCTCTCCTCATTGTCCCATTTGAAGAATGGAGTAGAACTCTGGGATCTAACCTCACCACATCTGCCATCATGCCAATGTGCCTGCCAGGGCAGCAAGCCAATGTCCACCCCCTTTGTGGTGTCCCTTGAATTACAGCCCACAGCAGCAGGGCTGGGAGAGAGTGAGCTGCAGTGACCCATTGCTGGGTGGAGTGTTGCTGGGATTCCCTTATCCAGGCATCTTTATGGAAAAACTCATCAACGCCCTTACCCCCACCTCTGCCCTCGGGGAGCCCAGGTGGAGCCTGCTGAGCCATTCCACAGGGTGCCCCAGGTGCACTATGAGCTGCACCCCAGCCCCTGGTCAGACACTGTGTGAGAGCACACAGCCCCAACAGACTTAATGTTTCCTTCCCCTGGGGAACAGCATTAACCTGTAACTTTTTAGGCATCACTTGATCAGCTGAGTAACAGCTATTAGTTTTGGACTCTAGGCATTTTTATGAGATATTGGTTCCAGGGCTTGTGGTTTGGCGCCGAAAGCATATTATTCACACACAAAACAACTGCATTAAAATAACATTAGGGGTCTGGCTGAAACTGACAAAACCTAGGAAACTCAGAATTAAGGCTGAAAGTATGTCCTTAACTCACCCACAGCATGCCTTTTAGAGCAGTTCATATTGCATGTGAAATCCCCTGGCGCTGGCCCCTGCCCCAACAGAGCTGTGCTCAGCACAAGACTTTGGAGAGGAAATCAGGGCTGTGTCTCACCCCAGGTGAGTCGTGGCCACTGCCACCTTCATGCCCTGGGGCCAGTCATTGACACCACCACTTTCACACTCCTAACCAGCCAGGGCACTGCTCTGCCTTGTCTGGAGGGAGATGCTCACCACCCAGTCCCAACTCAGCAGGTGGCAGTTGTTATATGGCAAGCCAGGCCAGGGCTACAAGAAAGAAGGGGACAGACTCTTTATCAGGGTCTGCTGTGATAGGACAAGAGGGAAAGGTTTCAAACTAAAACAGGGGAGATTTAGACTGGCTATAAGGAAGAAGTTTCCTTTACAATAAGGGTGTTGAGACACTGGCACAGGCTGCCTGGAGAGGTGCTGGATGCCCCATCCCTGGAATCATTCAAGGTCAGGCTAGAGGGGCTCTGAGCAACATGATCTAACTGTGGGTGTCCTTGTTTATTGCAGGGGAGCTAGACTGGATGACCTTTAAAGGTCCCTTCCAACTTAGACAATTCTATGCTCAGGATTTGTGCGTCTGAAGCTATAGATCTGTGTTTCCAACCCTTTCAGCAGCACCACGGCAGCCAGAAGGGAGCTGCTGAAAAAACAGCACAGGCTGAGAAGGGCTTTGCCCAGCAAGCAGCCGGGGGTGGGACATGAACCTCCAGCCTTCATGGCAACGTGCTCCCATCTGCTGTTGATTTGCTCTGATTGATCAGAGTAGCACAGCGAGGATGAAACATACCCAGGGAAGGGACTGCTAAGTAACACCAGGACACTCTGGGCTGCAAAGGTGGGTTGGAGTAACACGAGCAGCGAGGAGGAGAGAGGCCTTTCTGAAACCTGTCAGGGGAAAATCCTTGGCCCAGAAAATACCTTCTAATGTTCCTTCTGTGGATTGTGTTACTGTGAGGGACTGCAGCCAAGACCCGGTGCGGGGGCACAGGTTGCTGCCACGGAAGCTAAGGGGAAGAGGGGAACTCGACACGGCCATATACAGCTGTGCTGAAGAGCCTGCAGTCGGAGTCGGAGGACACCACCACCATGAGGACCTCACAGAATTTACATGATGGCATCTAGTGGATGAAAAGTGGAGAGAGGGTCCACAACAGTGTCACATGGTGAGTCAAAAGCAGCAACTCTGGGACATTCCCAATGAAAATACCTGCTGTGCTTCTCTCAAGGCCCAGCCTTTGGTCACTGGACATAAACACCAAAACCTTTAATTGGCTGCTGGCTTTCCAGAAGGTGTATCTGAGCTTAGGAAATGGTGATCTCAGTTGCAGCCGTGTTCTCTGAAATAAGGAAAGCAGCAGCCAAAGGGGTATCAGAGGTCACATACTCCCAGAAGAGCTCCGTGCAGGTGCCCAGAATCCCTAGGAACAATTGCCAAGCCCTTGGAGACAGGACCAGCCCTTCTCTCTCTAAGGCATTTTTTTCACCTTGTGGCCAAGTATCGCGTCCAGACTGCAGCTAAATCAATTCCTCTAAAAGCCTGCTTGAAATGAGTTTCACTTCTGCTGCTCTGCCTATTCCTTTTATTTATGAGCTCTGCCATCTTATAGGAAACAACCCAAGATGTTCATGCATGAGACATCTCTAAGGGATAAATCATATATATATATATATATATGTATGTATATATTTAAGAAACAAAAAGAAAAGTGTTCAGATTTCAAGGTTGCCATGTAAAAAGTGCACCTTAACCATATTGGGTGCAATTTTTTTCCTCAGTGAGGTGAGAAAGACATTTGCTATTCACATCTTGGAAGCAAAACAAATAGCATAATTGTTTCCTTTCTCAGCAATGGCAAGTGCATCTCAACTTAGCTCTGTGCTTTATACTTGTATCCCATAAACCAACACATTCCCTTGCAAAATGGCATTTCCAACCGAGCACAAACACTGCTATACCTGGCACCAAGCCTGTGCTTGGGGTCACAGTCCAGACCTTCTGGTGATTAGGTGGATGCTCTGTCCCAGAAGCTCTGTAACTAAGTTTACCACAGGATAATTCCAGTTTAATGTGTATGAAGCCTTTTAATGGAAAACAAACATTTCACTTACTGTGGGGTCACTTTCAAATGTAATTTAGGACTCCAGCAGCAGGTTTCCTTGGTCTTTTTTTAAAGCTGCTGAGTGTCTCTGTGTCTCAGGGAGTACAGCTTGTGTCACAGGTGCTCTCTGCTTCAGAAAGGCAGGGCTTAAACGAGCAGGCACTCCCCAAAGTAGGGTATGTGCCCACAAAACACAAGTGATGACTGTATGTGAATAAATACTAATCCCCTGTTGCGCTTCCTAAACCTAAGCCTAAAAGTAGAAAATAAGTAGAAAAATCTGCTCTATGTTAGGCCCAGATCCTATCCACGTTGCATGGGTCATGAGCAAGGACAACGCTGTTTCTTGTTGCTTTGTTGTACTGCACACACGCTACCACAGAAGTGAGAGCAGCTGCTATCATATTTCTCCATATCATTTCAATTTCATCTTCTGAGGAAAATATCTTGAATTCCAAAGAGTCAGCGTGCAGGAGCAGTTGGCACCTCGTGGGACAGTGTCAATGTGACAAGGCACAGAGCAAACCCTTGTGCCTTCCACTTCCAGCAGCTACAAGGCACTGTGCATTTCCTTCTCTGCACATGAATATACGCTCACCCTTTGGATTTCATAGGACAGATGTTCAAAGCTGCATAAATGAGCGTCTACAGAAGGTAAATACGTGTACAAAAACACACCGCGTGCTTACAGAAAATGATGGAAAACAGGACTGGATGCTTTTTCAGGGGCCACCTGGAAAGGTTGGCTACTTCACCTGTGCAATCTCCACAAATAAATAAGTTTTCATTAGAAATCAATAAGAGGTTGAAACTTTCAGGTACATGCATGTCATTAAGCTCACCATACCGCTTTAAAAATGCAGTTCAAATGGCAGGTAATTGTTTCCATATTAAAGAAAGCTTAAGAATGACTGACAAGATCTGCTTTTGCAGCTCTTATTTCTGCCAATCAAGCTACTGAGGAAAAAAGTAAACAGCGCATATTTAGAAAATATATTTTTAAAGTTGGGCTTTGGCTGAACAGTAACTTCACAAGAAAGTGAAGTCTCCCTAACTAGCTGTGACTAAAATACAGCAAACAAAAGTATTAAAAAACATGCAATGAAGAAACAAAGCTATGCAACCAAAAGGCAGTTTCACCAAATAGACACCTGCACCCTCTTCCAGGCTTGGCATCAAAGCTGAATGCTAGGATCCAAGGGCTGATTAACTCTTTCCTCCCACCCTAGCTACCTCCCACTCATCTGCTCTTCCATAGTCCCTTCCTTATCTGTTTTTGCTGCCAGGTGGTCTGGCATTCACTTATCATGGCCTCAGAGAACTCTGCAATACAGGGGATTGGAAAAACAAACTAAATTCTCCTCCTGAGCCAGGTAGGTCCCCAGGTGCTTGTCCTCATTACAGAAATTGCTCTGGGAGCTGGATCCAGCTGGCAAAGGTTTCTCATTAGGATGGCAAGGCTGCAGATGTGAAGCTGGAGGGAAAGTACATAGCTGCTGAGTAGAGGTGGCCTTGGGGCTGGGGTTAAGGAGGTGAATGGAGTGCTTAAGTGCAGAGCTTTGTGTTGTGGAGTTCTTTTAGTTGTGAAAATGGTATGCATTTTTAGTGCATTCAGGTTTGTATGGGTTTGGATTTTCCTCCATTTTCTCTGCTCTGAAGACACTATAATCTTGCAAGTGTTAATTTTTGACTAGTTCTAGCATAGACTTAGGACAGGAAGAAGCCTGTTTAGGGCTGTTGGAGTTTGGATCTTGTGCAATATGTGGGAGTTGTGCTCCAGCTATTTTTCTGTTAGGTATATGAGGAAAGGCAGGGGGAGTAGGAAAAGCTCAGGCTTTGCTTATTTCTTTATGCTGCAAACAGGGTAGCTCTGTAGATGAAAAAGGATTTGAAGCATTGACCTGGAATATTAAAGTCATGGGTAACACTTGACAGCATTTTCTCTCTTAGGAGTATCTCAGACATATGGGAAGGTGGTCAAGAACAGGAGCTGCCGCTACTGCCCTTTTGGCTGGAAATAGTAGATGCCAATAGGATTAAGAACAGGATAAACAAACAAGATGCAGGACAATTGCAAGAGCTCTCAGAGTCCTGGTGTTTCAGGCCTGCAGAAGCTCTGCCTTGTGTACCAGGCTGCGGGGCTGCCTGAGGAGCTTTCACAAACAGCACTTTATGTGGCTTATTGCAAGCTGTGCAACACTCACACAACTGTGCAGTATTTACTGGTTGGAATTGTTGGGCCAGCTGGACCACAGTGCACACAGCCATGTGTTTTCCCAGAAGTCAGCAAGATGTGTGTTTGTACATCCCAGCAAGCTCTGCTTGTGAGTAGTTTAGTGGCCTCTTTCTCTTTTGACTCTGTAAATGGAAGGAGATGTGTAACTCAGCCAAAAATGGCCAAACTCTTCTCTCTATATTTCCAAGCATCAGTAAGTCTAACAGTTGTGCTTATTCTGTGATAAATGGCAATAAGCACTGGCTGATGAGGCTGTTGTCTGTGAAGACAGCATCCATGTGTCCACTGACCCCTGTTGTCTCTTACTCTGTGCTGATGGCACGTGCCAGACCCCACGTTGTCTCAGTGCCAGCTGACAGCAGGATCCATCCAGCCGACTGCTTTGCGGTGATGAATTGCTGTATTTGCTGCTGGCTGCATATGGCAGGTCAGTATCTCTGCCTGCGGTGAGCCTGCATTGCAGTTATTGCGTTCTGAAGAATGTATACCTGGGAGGAGGGGATTGAAAATTAAAAATTAAAAAAAAGAGAGAGGACGCCCACACAGGTGAAATGATAATAGGAAAAAAATGAGAAGTCTTTTAGTCCTCAGCTCTATGGCATGGTTCAGCTGAGGGCACAGGAAAGCTGGGCAAACACAGATGAGCTGCCAGGCTTCAAAATTACCCCACCTCACCCATCCCTATTTCCTTCCATTGCAGAGAGTTTAAGATCTCCATGAAGGAAAATGATTATCGTTGAGTCACGCCAATAGCTGCGACGCTGGCTGCCTGCCCCCGCCAGCCTGCTTCACCACTTGTGTGCTAATGTTTGGATCCTAGTGGTGGGAAATGAATGTCAGCCTGTACTCTCTTCATGCACCATTGAGCTGTGCTTATGGTCGCTTTTGGCAGCACCAAATCATCAAACAGATAAAACCATCAGTCTTTTTATTTCCAAACATTAACCTAACTGCTAATAAAGCACAGCTCGTGTCATCCTTATGGACTCTGCAGAGCTGAGTCACACGATAAACAGGATCCGAATGCTGGAAAATGGCTCGTGCTTCTTCCTCGTGCTGTGGCTGGGCCTGCTGCGTGACCGCTGCCTGTCCACAGGAGTTCTGCCTCGGGCCTGCATGCTAGAGCTGGGTGGGGAAGCTGGTGGAACTGGGCTCTGTCCGCTTAGCACAGTGTGGGGCTGTGACCTATGTGTTTTGGGGTGTGCACTGTGGGCGCTGAGCCCCAGCGCAGGTGGGGAAGGCTTTCCAGGCCCCAAGGTGAAGGAAAGTCCTCCCTCCCCGCGGACTTTCCTCCAGTGGCTTGAACATATTTTTCCCCAAACATCTCCCAGCAAAACTGGAGGGGTTTTGTAAATTCATTATGTCACGGAGGAATCTGTTTAATCAGCTGCCTTTCCCCAGAGGCACTTTGCGCTTAATGAGACGCTTGATGGAAGGAATCAAAATTGGTTTATACGAGTTTAGCCTGAGAGCCTCCAGCCGATGTATTACTGAGTGCACTGTAATTTAGAGGGGTAAACGGAGAGGCTGAGCAGTTATCACCCTGTTTGCTTGAGGTCAGTGGCAGGGGTGAAAGGTAAAACCTAGAGCTCTGCATTGCACCATCCCTTTCCTAGGTGTCATCGTGATAAATAGCACGAGTCTCTGTGCTACCAGGAGCCCCTGTGACCTGTTGGGCTCTATTCCTCTCCAGTGCAGTTTGCAGTCATGCAGTGAGGCACATTCTTGATTAGCTTAAGTCTGAGGATGTCTCACTAATTCAGGAAGTATCCATATGAGGCATACAGCATATATGTGGAACAGGTATCAGGAACCTAGTGAGCTGGATAGTGGGATGCAGAGCTGCAGCGTGGAATAGTTCCAACTTTAGGTCCAAAATCCATTATTAAAATCTTCCCCTGTGAAATTCATGTACAAAGAGCAATCCTTTTGTTTCCTTTGCATGTCCACTTTTTTCAGCTGCCTGTACTAACCACCAGATGTCAGTTACCTTGTGACCTGCCTTCCTGTGGTGGGCCAGCCCTGTGGCTACAAGGCCTTCATCATTTAGCCCTCTTTTTTTATTTTCTTTTTAATTTATCCCGAGAAAGACAAGACTGAATTATCAACAGAAGTGGAATTTCACACAGACAAATCTGTTTAGTTACTTTTCCAAGCATCCATGATGCATCTTTTCACTGTGTCATTCTGCTTAAAGCTAGTGGTTTATTACTCACTTGAGAATAGTTTATAATTTTGTGTAATTGCTTGTTTCTGGGATGTAGGTATGTAGATCTCGATGCAGTTAGGATATGGTTGCTTTGTGTGAACTGCTTAAGATATGTAGCTTAGAATTAAAAGCATTTTTTTTCTCACAAAGATGATGTTTAATGGATAAAAGAGTAGATGTACATTCATCACATCACATTTATTTTACTTTCAACTGTTAGAGTTGATGGTCTATGTAATGTATCTATTTAAGGTTTTTTAATATAAATACAAATTTGTGAGAATGCCTCTTACCATCAATCTTTAACACGTTGTCTAAAGATTACTTATGAGCTACTGGTATCTTTCCCACCTTCTTCCTTTTTTTAGTTAAAGTTTAAAATGACTGCTGACAAAAGCACAGTTTAGAATGGAACTGATTTTACATCATCTGGTTCCACTTGATATGATATTAAGGTATTGGAGAATTGCATCATCATGTCTTGCTGTGAAGTTGCATTACGTTCCGCAGCCCTGGCTTGCTTAATAGTGCTTCAGTAGCACATGCTTAATTGCTCAGCAAATGACACAACATGTGAAGAAATAGTACCTAAAACATGATTTATATCTCTTCAGGCAAAGACACTGAGAACTGGATCATCTGCTTTCATTATTCTTATGGGAACACAGAAGGATCTGAAAACTGTGGTCAAGTCAGATGCTAAGCACACTCGGAATACGCACCTTTTATTACAGGTATGTTAGCTCTGTCAGTCAAGCTCAAGCCTGAATGTCTTCTTAAAATACACACATGCACAATGTATTAACATATGCATCCTGTGGAGAAGAGGTTCCTTGTAGCTCTGAAGACGTATTCTGGGCAGGCTGGGTGCTGGCATGATTACCAGAGACCAGCGGGCTTGCTGTATGCTCACTGTAGGGAGCAGGTGTATGCAGCCAGGTAAAAGCAGTATGTGATTTCAGTGGGGTACAGTGGGACTTGTGGGGGAAGAGGGAAGAAGGGGCTGAATAGAGAGAAAAAGTGTTTTTACAGATGAGGTCTCCCACTGTGAGTCCACCTGGAGTGGAAAATCTTGTCAACACAAGCATTGGTTCACAGGTGTCTAGAAAGTGGTTAGAACTGCTGCAGAGCAGACATAGACATATTTTTTTAATAGCTGGGTCTTACACAGCACAAAGACTGCTTCCAGTCCAAGCTCAAACTTTGGCATACCATACTTTGAGTGTCTCCAAATGCAGAATGAATTAAAGATGGACTACTGCAAAGATCAGTAGAGTATTAAGGTTGTGTGGCTATTTACTTCTCCTTGTGTCTTGCTCTCTGCTTTGAGTAGAGAGTCTGGTACAGCCTGTTGTAGAGGGTAGAACGAGTTCAGTCCCTTTGTTCTCCCTCCAGAAGAGCTGAAATGCAGTAACCTGACCTCCAACATCTTCCCTGATTACATCTGTCATTTTTAAAATTAATTCAGATCACATTATCATTTTTGCCTTTAATTCTACTACATCCTTTCCTCTTGCCTTTTCCTCATATTAATTAATAAAAAACCAACCAACCAACCAAACAAACAAAAACCCAGCCTAACACATGGTTTTTACAGAAGAAAACTAAAAGACAGATGTATTGGAAATAGGACTGTAAGCAAAACAGGCTGCCAAGTGCGCCCCACACGTTTCACAGGATCATGGCTTTAATGATGTTGTATGATAGTGTTTTGCATATGTGGTACATTGATTTGCCGTATCTTTTGAGTTTATTTAACTTTTTTTCTTTCTGGGCCATTTTTTCCTAGTCTCTTTTATTTCTCACCTTTTTCTTTTGTTGGAAGAAAATAAGCACGTTCTATAGGCCAAATTGAAGTATCCTGAAATTGCATGAAATTGCATCCCTGGAAGGCACTCCTTGAAAAGTGTTAAGACAATGGTAGCCTACTTCAACCAAGTGTCCGGGGTGTCTCACATGGTACGGTCAAACTGTCAGTAAGAGTTCATTCATGAGTTCAAATTTTGTGCGCTATCTATACAGCTTTTGTGTCCAGCATGGCTGCATACTATGCTATAAAAGATGTCTAAAGAGAAATGCCCAAGGTCTCTCCTAGGTGGTGTGGAAGAGTTATGCATGGGCAGACTACAGTCCGTGCCACTAGCATCTTCAGTAAGCCTTGCATTTCATTTGTAGGGTGTGGCTGGCCCAAAGCAGAGTTCCTTTATGATACACAGAGGAGCTAAAAGTTGATAGCACAGAAGGGAATCTGACGTAGTGGATCCCAAAAATTGCAGTGCTCTTCACCTCCCAGTGCTTTTGAACGCTTAAAAAGGCTTAAAAACCTTTCCATGTTCCTTGCCTTAGAGTGGAATAGTTTCAGAATCCCAAGGAGAATCCTTAATGTTGCTGATTTTGTTGATTCATCTGCTTAGGTTCCAAATGTTACAGTTCTAAATTATCAAATGAGGAAGTGGTATTGTGAGGGTCTCTTGCTTAATGTGATTCGAGTGCACAACTCCTTTGTACTTACATTTCTATGGGAAGCAAAAGCGGAGTATCTTTTCCTTACAAAATGGTGGAAAAGCAGAGAAATTAAGAGCCACGAGGAAATGTCTGTGAACTTCTGGCAGTACAGTTCAGGAAGGAAAGCACGGGGTGTTATGCTATTTTTGTGTACGGTCATCTGTTGTACGAGCTACAAACCCTGCGGACTTTAATGATGTCTCCTTTGAATTCTGAAATCCTGTAACTAATCTGAGTCGTTTGCACAGCTGAACAGACTCAAGGTCTCTTAAGCAAATTGGAAATACCTATAATTCTGCAGGAAATTAGAGACAGTTAGGTAGTCCCAGAGCAGAGGAAGAAATAAAAAAGGAGCTATAAAATCTCTGGTCTCTGGGAAAGCTCTGGGTGAAGATGACTTGGTAATAGAATTTTCAAAACTCTTTCAGTCTTACTTGGCTCCTGTCATATGGAAAAATTTTCAAAAGGCCAAAGAGAAAGGGTTCCATTTCAGCATTAATTGCAGCGTTGGGTTTTCTTAACTCTCTTTCCTAGGAAATAACTCATTGATGCACCATTTGCAATAATTAAATTACAGGCCAATTCTTTTGACTAATGTGACTCAGAAGACAGGTTAAAATAGCATCTAGAAAAATTCTAAACAGCATACCTTATGGACAAGAATTTAGCATATGTCTTGAGGTTCACATTAATCAGAAAGCTGCTCAGAGTCTATGGCCTGTTATTATAATTTGCTATTTTTAAAATTCTCTGAAGTAATCAGAAAATCAACCAGCTCAACAGCCCTAAAGAGGGCTGCTTCCCACCCACCAGCAGTGGCTGACTTCACTGTTGACATAAAAACCATGAAGATCTCAGTCTAGTATTCTGCCATGTAATTGTATCCTTAATTTTGGCCTTGTTGAAAGTCTGCTGGAAAATTGAGCTCGTGTGTCCTCATTAGAAGCAATTCATATGTAAATCATGGAAGATTTTTTTTTTTTAAACTTGAAGAAAGAGAACATCCCTGACTCAAACATTCTGCAGGCTCTTGCTCCTCTTGTGGTTCCTGTGTGGCTGTGACTCTTGGCAAATCTGATGCAGTGTGAGGGTTGCTGGCCACACTTTTGGCTGCTCTTGCCTTAGCTGCTGGAGAAAGCATCTGTCAAGAGATGTTACCTTTTGCCGACCTTGGCTCAGTCAGTGCAAAGACATGAGACAAACTACGCTATCTTCTATGCTCATATGCCTGGCATATACCCATGGAAGGTACTTCTCTCTCTTGAGTCAATAGTAGCCATCTGGTATCAGCTTTTCTGCATATAAGAAGGCTCATTTTTT